AAGTGGCTTAGAAGCCAGGTAGGAGAAGGAACCTGTCGTGGTAGCATTCCAGAGGAAGAGAGCAGCATATGTGGATGAGTCAGAATTAGTGGTGCCTCTCAAATACTCACTGAAAACGTGAGACCAGGGAGTCCAGGCCTCTGCCCAGTGTTACCTTACTAGCAGATGGATTGTCATTTCCTGGCACTGGGTCCTGTGCTTTAGGTGGCAGCTTCTCTGTTTTGTCTTCGTTCAGTTTTCTAGTTTTCTGTAGTGTGAAATGCCCTCCCAGTGGCTGGGCTGGTGGGAGAACGTATGCAGCCTTCCTCGGTTGGTGCCCCTCACTCCGCCTGTGTGTGGGTGGGGTGCTGCTCTCCCTCCTCCTCCCTATAGGGCCCAGTATGTGTTTGGATGTGAGTAAAGTATGATCTCTGGGTAGTAATATCTGAGTGGTGTTCCTCTTGTTAAAAGACTTCTTGCAATCTTCAAAAAGCTTTTTTCTTTTTCCCACTACTGCTACTGGGCTGTCACCCTTGACCTTATCTTCAGCTCAGTTGCCTACCTACCACTACTTGAATTTAAATAAAAAGCTGCCCAAGAAAGGTTGATTGCCACCAGGGGGCGTGGTGAGATCATTGTCAGTGGCCTAGGTGGTAGAAAAGAGGTTTGAATTTTGAAGATTAGCCACCCAGTTTTCTTTCTCCAGATGCTAAACATGATTCCTGATTGCTAAACAGTATCCAGAAATAAGGTACCTACCCCATCTGACAGGCTCCAGAGTCCTCTCTTCTGAAAGTATCTACATAGGACAAATATGCTACTGTTTGGCTCCTGCAACCCTATAAGTAATGGTGTCCTATCTGTTCTAGCTAGACCAGGCATTCAGCACCCCACACACACTGTGGACTGGCCAGGCACTCCTGTATGGAAGCGAGCAGGAAGGAGGTGGGGGGGAAAACCTTGTGTAGGAAAAGGGTGGATGGTGGCCAGGTGATTGGATAGGGTAGACCCACCTATTCAGCAGTAGCCCTTATTCCTGCCTGGCATGAGCTACTCCTTTGAATAGAGTCAACAGTGGTCAAGTGAGGGTTACAACATCAGATTTTTCAGGGTTTATTCTCCAAGATGACAGCGAATCTTTAAAACCAAAAAGCTGGGTCTTGGGAGGAAGGGTCTTAGATCAGAATCTTCTGATAGGAAAAAGACTTGACTGGGGGACCTAGGACATCAGGAGGGCCCTGGGTCTTTGGGAACAAGGCATCACCATCAGCTGAAGAATTGAGAGCTGCACACAGGTACCTCTGTGGTTGTAAGTAGTACTGGGCTGAGGGGACAGCCACTGTAAACAGGGATGTTTGTTTCCACCAGAAAAGGAAATACAGACCTTACTAAATGCAGTTTTATTAGAGCTTCATGAAAGAAGATAATTAACATAGCTATATAATTAGTTCATGACTTTTTTGTAAAGTAGCTAAAGGTATTTAAGAATCTGGGAGGTTGCTGGTGCACATGCTTTACAAACTTTAACGAGTCTGCCTTAGATAAGGACTTTAGACAAGTACGAGATGAAACAGGAGTTGTGCAGTAAGTATTGTAAAAATTGTTGTCTAGGAGGTAGGCGTATAAGGACTAGGTTGTATGCAGTATTTCTGCAAATAAGTTGTTTCTGACATGTGTGCTGACAATGCTGGTGGGCTCAGATACAGTCTGGTTTCTTCTGTACTCCACCCCTGCCTTTGTCAAGATGTTACGTTGATGTTTCCTTGTATACAGCAACACTAGGTGAACTAGGTGTGTCTGAGGTGGTGGCTCTCAACTTTGTCTCTTTGTTAGTTGAAAAACTGGGCTCAGGTAGCCGCCTCTGAATCTCCCTGGGGGGAGAACTGCCCTGGCCTGTTGTCTCCAGGGTGACTGGACACTACAGAAGAACCAGGACCATCCTCTGAGCATTTGTGCCTCCTGTGGTCGTCAGATAGAACTCTGAGCAGTCTTCTAGTTCTGTTTTTTTTTCTGCGTCCGTCTAGCTATGGGGTGGGTCTGCCATTGGGTTGGTATTTTTAACTTTCGCTTGGATGAAACTTGTTCATTTTAAATAAAGCAACTGGATTTGGAGTTGTGTTTCTCACATCATTCTGTTCTTGTTTCTCAATGGAAAGTTGCTAGAATATATTTTGTCAGCAGAACAAGACCTTTTAAAAATGTACTTTAAAGCAGTGGGGCCAAGAGACAAAAATAGGGCCCAAACGTTGGTGGAAAGTTCCACGCTGTTAACAGCCCGCAGCCTATAGATAAACCCTAATCCACACGTTCTAGTTTTGACTCCCCTTTTCATCAAACCTCCACCATAGAAAGTTGTCCTCCCTTACTATGTGATGCCACGGTACTGAGCGCCCCCTGCTGTTGGGAGCCCTAATTGTGGGATAGAGCAGCAATTTGGAAGCCCAGAACCTGAGTCTAACTACCAGGTAAAGATAAGTGCTCCCAGCTAGTGTCTTGGTTTGCATCAGAGATTGGCTCTGGCTCTCTAATTCTCCCCTAAAAATGTAATAAAGTGGATCGTAAGCAAAAACTGGGACCTCTTTTCTTATTTTTACATTAGGGCTATGCTTGGCATGGTACCTACCAAACTTTGCCCACCCCATATCTTTTTAAAATAATCTCTAAAGGCCAGGTGCTGTGGTTCACACCTGCCAGCCCTCTGGGAGGCTTAGACAGGTGGATTGCTTGAGCTCAGGAGTTTGAGACCAGCCTGAGTAAGAGTGAGACCCCATCTCTACTAAAAACAGAAAAATTAGCCGGGCGTTGTAGCTCATGCCCATAGTCCCAGCTGCTTGAGAAGGCGAGGCTAGAGGATCGCTTGAGCCGATGCCACCTCAACCCAGGGCCCAGACTGAGACTCTCTCTCAAAAAATAAAATAATAAAGTAACTAAGGAAGGGAGTGGAGAGTGGTAGGGAATATGCTTTTGGTTACAACACATTTATCTTAGACTTACAGGGTTCAGCAACAGAGCCCTGGAGAAACAAACCAGCAGTAGCCTTCCTTTCCCTCCTCCGACC